GAACAGAGGACCAGTTAACATTCCTTGGTCAAAAAAAGGTTGGAGAGGCCTGGGAGGGGCTTGCAGGATTGGTCAGGGACTCATGGGCAGCCAGCTCTCTACACTAGGCCCAGAGAAAGTGGGAGACAAAAGCCATTTTTTGCAGCCCACATTCGCAGGGAGCAAATCTCAACGGCCTCCTCTATAATCCCCTGGAGATTAGGTCCATCCCGAGAGGAGGGGAGGCAAACCAGGCTAAGACAGCACTAGGCCTCACTGAGGTCACTTTGCCAGGCAGGGGTAGTTTAAAGTTGAACAGCAGGGCCAGAGCTGCCCCCAGCCCCGCCTCCTTCTTGCCCCAGCCACCCCCTTCATCACACTAGTCAGTGTCCACACTCTCCCCTCTGCCCAGTGAAAGAGGCCTGGTGAAGGATCTAGGGTTCCTTGAGTTTCCCAGGGACTTCTCTGGGTGCTCAGCTGGGTAGGAACAACCTTTAAGTCCAACTGGCAGTAAGTCCGACCTGGCAGTGGCACCCTCCCTCCCCCATCCCAAGTTGTCCTGTCCCAAGGCCCACAAGGAACCCTGGGGGGAGAAGCAGCAGCCAGGGATTGGTGCTGGCATCAGGGCCTGGGTCCTAGTTTAGTCAAGCTCCCCCCAACACAAAAATAAACAGGCAGAGAGGCTATCTGGCCAGCTTCCCAAACTCCTGAGGTTCTCTGAACCCCCAGTCTTTAAAAAGGCACACCCCAAGACACCAGGCCTCAGTTCTGCCCTGGTGACTGGCTCAGGTTCCCTTGACAGACCCTGCCAAAGGAACCCTCCGCAGCTCTGGCACCCCCTTCTTCAACCTAAAGGCCAGCTCTGGCCAAGATAGTCCATCTGGCTGTGCCCCCAGTCCAACCCTTTCTGGGCCTTGGCCGGGCGGACTTCACTCACCTCTTCACAGGGCGATCCAGAAATCCTCATCCGAGAACATGGCCAGAGCCCGGGCCGCTCCCCGACCTCCAACCGCCAGAGCGATCACAGCCGCCCCCCGCACGGGGGGGCTTAGGGGGGCCAAGAACGGTAAATCCAGGTCGGAGTGGCCACCCTACCCCCCAAAAAAAGCAAGAAGCCAAAGGGGGGTTCTCTGCCTCGGGTTCCAGCAGTTTAGGTTTCCATGGACAGCCCCAGGGCGGCGAATCCCGAGCGGACACAAAGAGAGCACCGGTGGCTTTGATCTTGGGCGAGCAGGCTCCGCATCCGCGTCGCCGGGCGGCCTCTCAGTCCCAGGGCCCGGCCAGCGCCCCGGCCGCCCGCGCCGGGCTCGGGCGGAACGTCGAGGCTCTCCAGATGGAACGTCGAGGCGCCTCCCCAGCAGCCCGGAAGGAATGCCGCGCCGCCCCGCGCCGGGCCCGGATGGAACGTGAAACCCTCACAGGAGCGCCGAGCCCCTCTCCCCGCCCGGGCCGGCGCCCCGGGGCCGCGCGAGCTACGGCGACGCGGAGCCGGCGGGGCCGCGGGGCTCAACCTGACACACACCCAGCGCCGGGCTCCTCGACCCCAAGCGCTCACTCTTCGGCGGCTTCGAGCCCCCCACCTCCTGCTCCCCCCGGGGAAGGGAGGAGGCTAGGTGGGCGAGGAAGAGGAAGGGGCGGGCGGTGCGAGCCCTCTGCCCGCTCCCCTCCGGCCGCTCCAGGCCCTGCGCTCGCCTCCCTTCCCCTCTGGCCTCGGGAGCTGCCCCGCCCCCGGCCTGGCCGGCTCTGGTCGGTGGCACCCCCTCGACCCCCGGCTGGCTGTGATCGCGGGAGGCCTAGAGGTGCATGGCCCAACCCCGGCTCCCGGCACCGGGGGGTCAGGAAACTGAGCGGAAAGTGGGGAACGAGGCAGCCATTTGCAACCGGAGAGGAAAGTAGTGCAGCGCGGCGCCGCTCCGCCTCCCCCCCCTCCGCCTCCTGTTCGGCCGGTAGGGTGGTTCCTGCGAAGGGGCTATTTTCTGGCTGGAGATCTGGGCAGCGGTCGTGGAGATTCGTGAAGCCTCCGGCGCGAGATCCGGGGGGTCCTTTTGCCCGGGGAACCCCACTCGAGAAGGGGAGAAAGGAGAAGATGCGGCCCTATTTTGTGTTGGAGCGGAGCTGCGGAGGGATACTGCCCTCTCGGAGGAAAGGCTGTGACTCTGCAGTTCTACGCACACGCTGCGGGATCCCTCCGCCACGGGTTAACCCCGACTGCGCCGGGCCGGCCGCTGTGCAGACACGTGGGAACGAAGCCCCCCTCCTCTTCGCCTGGGCCCTGAAACTGCCTCATTTACCGCCCAGGACGTGAAACTAGGACTCTGGCCACTTTCTAATTCCGTTCCCGTGCAATCATTGGTCCCTGAAACTCCAACTGTCCTCTTGCTTTGGTCAGGGGCAATCTTTCCCGGGAGGGGGGATGGAAGAAGAGCCTGGAGCTTGGCCGCTGCTCTGCATCCTGGGAACTGGAGTCCGCAAATGGAGAAAGTGAGGCACGGCTCCTGGCACTGTAAAGGGTGGATTCTTGCCACGTTCGGGGGCCCGAAGAAAGCCGGACGAGTCCATGGTCGTTCCTTCTGGCTCCCAGACCCCCTCGTAAGGAGGGACTGTGGGTGCCCACACCATCACCACACACCCCTCCCCATCAAAACATAAATGTAGAGCCTCCTTTCCTTTTCAGGGTGCTCCCACACCCTCTTCGTCTTTCGGGATCTTCAGAACCTGTGTCTGTTTTTTTTTTTGCTAGACTGAGGTAGTCTCGCTGCTTCTTGGCCGGAGTACTGTTACTCTGGACAAGATCCCAAGACCCACTTCCTGCAGGTCCTCCCCCACCCTCCGTAAGTGTGGATGAGATCGGATTGGAATGCCTTTTTTGCATTAGCTGTACACAGGGGCCAACAGGAAGACACAAACTAACTATGTGCTAGATACTTTATATATTCTTAGTTACATTATGAATTACGGGGAATTATCTCCATATTGGAGATGAAAACATTGAAGCTAAAATAGGTGAAATTGATCACGGAACGACATCTAGTGAGAAGCTGATGATTTGAACCAAAGGCCATGTTTTTCCTAGGATTAAATAAATACATGTTTATAAAGAGGCAGGCAAATTAGATCCAGGGCTAGTTTTGTGGGAAAGGGTTTACAGTGCTGTTCAATAGAACTTTCTGCAACCATGGAAATGCACTCTAAGCTAATATGATAGCCATTAATCACATCTAGCTATTGAGAACTTTGAAATGTAGGTAATGCAACTGAGGAACTAACTTTTTAACTAAACTTAAATAGCCACATGGTGACTAGTTGATTCCATTTTGGACAGTGCATAACTTCATCCCTACTGGCCAGGCTTATAGGAGAGATCAGAACTAGGCATATCCTCTGCTAGCCACACACTGGCATCATGTTCTCTGCACTGACCATTCAGGTCTATTTCAGCAAAAACTCCAGCAGTGATCCCACACCTGTCCCAATTAATAGGATAAGTTAACCAAGAGACAGAAGTTGGAAAATGGAAGGTCTCTTTCTACTCTCTGTACCCAGAGGCGGAGACAGGCAGACCCTCACCAGAAAAACCTCCAGTAGTAACACAGCCATTTCTTAAGGGCTTATTATGTATGATGAACTGTAACCTGTATTACCTCATTTAATACTCTCCTCAACCTAGATTTAACCACACTTCATAAATGAGAAACTAAGGCTCAGAGAGTAAGTAACTGCCCAAGGTCACAAAACTATGTGGAAGAGCTATTAACCAACTATTAACTACCATTCTTTACTGTCCCCAGGCCTTGAGATCACTTGAGAAACTTCTAGAAAACCCCAGACTTCATGAAAATGGCAGTGGGAAGGTAGGCCCCTATAATGAGTATCCCAGATCAGATGTGCAAAGTGACTTAATTATAATATAAGGAGAGAGGGTGGTGACAGCTCTGAAGAACCTCCTAAGCTACTAAGATTGCTCTTTGGAGTATGTTTCTTCCAATAGTCCTTGTTTCTTTTTAGATTCTAGATCAGAAAAGCAAAAGCAGCTGGCAGGACTTTTGAAAATCAGCATGACAAACCATATCTCAACTGTAAGCCTAGAGTCAGGCATTGACAAAGTCACAGTTAAAAATTGCACCTAGATTTTGTCCATCTTTCCCAACTAAATGCATTAACTGGGTACCTCGGGCTCCCCCAGTTTGCAGGAGAGGTCTATACTGTCTCTCCCTGTGAAGATACTATACTACACAGATAACACTTGCAAGTCCTTGGAGAAGGTATTATACCAGTTAGGCATTTGGGCTGGTGGGGAAGGGGAATCAAGAAAAGTAGGGGCAAAATGGGACCAAACCTTTCTAGCTGAAATATCAATCCTACTAGAGGCAGTAGGTCAATAAGGAAGGACAGAAGCAATAGCCTTTGACACCTAAAAAAGAAAGCACAGTTCTAAGGGTATGAAAGGTACAAAAAGATCACCAAAAGTATGAAAAGAGCAAAGAATGTCCATTTTAATGAAAGACATTGGGGACATGGTGGACAAGGGGATTGATAGGCAACCGGGGCATTATTTCTTATTATACTCCTCAACTCTCTTGAGAAGTCAAAATCTTCACAACACTTAAGTCTCTGCCTCTATACTGCTTCTCAATTCTTACATCATTAGGAATGAAGAGCTTTCTTCCTCCTTCCCAAACCAATTACGCTCTTTCTGAGTTCCAACAAATGCCAAGGCCCCAGGAATATAGCTAGGTCAGCATGTAGCAGCTGGCCACTAGAGGGTGGTGTTTCTGTAGTTAAAGGGATCTTGAATGGCTACAAACTTGGATGGGAGTGGCAACCAACTGGACTCAGCAAAGGGGGAACCCAGCAGAACAGAAAGGTAGGAAGGCAAGTGTTAAGACTTAGCATAATGGTCCTTAATTGAGGAGTAAGGAATAGAAACAATAGAGGAGGAAAGATTCCCCAAAGACCACAGCTATCACTTATTCCTTAGAAAAGGAGATATTGGCCCTGAGCTCTCCCCAGATGCGAAGACGTCAACAACAAAAGATTTCTCAGTTTATTTACATATATACACTGTCATCCCAGAAGCCAGCTCTACTTCAGGAGTCCCCAGCTCCTCTTTCCCAGCCAACACCCACAACCTACACAGGAGGAAGGGCTCTGGATAAAAAATGTCTAGGACTCATAACCCAATCCCACAGGTTCCAACAAAATTCACTTAGCAAAAACAGAGGGCTAGAGGCCAGTACCCATGAGACATCCTTGCCCCTTTGTAAACATTGACATCCAGGCCACTGAAGCCTGGAGAAAGTGTGCAAACATGAGGATACCACACTGTGTGCCCAGAGGGCCAGTAACACAGCGGGCAACCATACCCATAAAGTCTGAGGGCAGGCCCTCCACTGGAGCCTGGCAAGTGCCAGGGGCAGAAACAAGGCAGTTATCCTATGCCCAAGGCCTCACATGAGATGACAGCGACGCTCTTGCCCATAGGAATTCTCCACACGTGCAATCTCCTGGATAACTTTGGTGAAGATGTCTTGAGTCATCTACAAAGGATAGGGATTCAGGGCAAAAGTCAGTTCAGTGCCGATATTCCAGTTCTAGGGTAAACTTCCCACTTCCCCAACATCCCCACCGCCAAGCAGTGCCATGAGAGAAACACTACCAACCCCCACCACCCTCCTAATCTTCAGGCCCAGGACCTGATTGTCTCGAGCAGATGACTCCATGAATGTCGCACCCCAGGACTCTGCCAGCTTCTTCCCTTCAACTGCCTGTACTTCTCTGGAAGCAAATTTAGGATATAGAGATGGAGGATAGTTGTCTCCAAATGCTCTGCAAAATCTTTAGAATCTAGACTTCTGATCCATCCCACTTCCCCAAGGTTAGGGAGGAGGGTTGGGGAGGAGAAAATATAAGTAAGCAAAGGAACAATGGGTGAATCTAGGCTAGGACTGAGGCTTGCGATATGAAATTGTGGCTTTTGAGATAGAAACTCTCAAGTTAGAGATGAAAAGAGGTGAAACGACTTGTTTGCATCAGTGGTAGAGCCAGGACAAGAGCCTGCCTGACTGATTCCTAGTCCAGCTCACTTCCCTTTGCCCTGAGTGGCACGGATTTACATACCTGTCTGGAGAGAGATCTGCCTTGTTCCCCACTAGCACCACCGGCAACCTGTGAAGAAACAGCAGTTGCTACAGGATCCCCGCTCATTTCCCATATTACCCAACTCCTTCAAATCAAGGCTGGACAACTCATCAGACCAGGCAGGATCTATGCGCCAGCCTCCCTCTAATTTGGACAATTCTCCCCTCCCCTCTCTCCCACCCCCTCATTCCCACAGTATGTCTGTATTCCCCAGGACCACTTACCGGGTTTTCCCATGGCCTTCGTGTAACTTTTGGTACAGACTCTCAATGACTTGGAAGCTTCAAACACAAGAAAGGAGCTATAACCTTAGTTCTGAGACAGTCCTCAGATCCTCCCAAGTCCCCTACTCACAACTTTGGTCACTTACCTATGCAGAGAGGTGACAGAATACACAAGCACATAACCATGGACCCCAATGATGAATGAATAGGGCAGAATGCTGTACTCATCCTAACAAGAAACAGAAACATCAATACCTAGATCCATACCACTCAGATGGCAAAGGTTGTCAGAACATATGGGTGACCCTCCCTGGGACACTCCCTACTACAGTCTCTTGTATTCAACAAGTATTTGTGGAGCAGCTCCAATAAGCCCTGTACTCTATTAGCAGCTAAAATGCTTTCCTTTTACTACTGCTGTACAAATGAGCCACAGAGACTACAAGGCTTCATCTCCTAGGGCTGAACTGCCATGTTTAGATACCCTACCCCAACTGGTACCTGCCCTGCTGTGTCCACCAGGTGGAGGTGAAACTCATCTTTGCCAAGAGTCACTATCTTGCTGTAAGCTGAAAAGAAAAGAAAACTTGACTGTGAGATGCCTCGTAGGGCCAGCAATGTATGCCCCCTTACTTTCTATTTTTTCTTTTTCTTTTCTTTTCTTTTCTTTCTTTTTTTTCTTTTTTCTTTTTTCTTTTTTCTTTTTTTTGAGACAGTGTCTTACTCTGTTGCCTGGGCTAGAGTACCTTGGCATCATCATAGCTCACAGCAACCTCAAACTCCTGGGCTCAAGCCATTCTCCTGCCTCAGCTTCCCGAGTAGCTGGGACTACAGGCATGCGCCACCACTGGCTAATATTTTATATATATATTTAGTTGTCCAGCTGATTTATTTCTATTCTTTTTTTTAGTAGATATGGGGTCTCAATCTTGCTCAGGCTGGTCTTGAACTGTGCTCAAATGATCTTTCCGCCTCAGCCTCCCAAAGTGCTAGGATTACAGGGGTGAGCCACCACACCCAGCCTCCATCTCTTAAAGAAAAAATAGAATGGGTCAGGTGTCCTGGCTCCTGCCTGTAATCCTAGCACTCTGGAAGGTGGAGGCGGGAGGATCACTTGAGGTCAGGGGAGACCAGCCTGAGCAAGAGCAGAGACCCCATCTCTACTAAAAAAAAAAAAATAGAAAGAAATTAATTGGCCAACTAAAACTACATAGAAAAAATTAGCCAGGCATGGTGGTGCACGCCTATCGTCCCAGCTACTCTGGAGGCTGAGGCAGAAGGATCACTTGAACCCAGGAGTTTGAAGTTGCTTTGAGCTAGGCTGATGCCATGGCACTCTGGCCCGGGCAATGGAGTGAGACTGTCTCAAAAAAAAAAAAAAAAAAGACACAGTGACAGCTTCTCACTGTGTTGCCCAAGGCTGGAGTGCAGGGGCTATTCACAGGCTAGATCACAGCGCACTAGAGCATCTCTCCTCAGTTCAAGCGATTCCCCGACTTCAGCCTATCCAGCAGCTAGAACTACAGGGGGACACCACAATTCAACTGCCCCCTTACATTCTTAACCCTGGGGGTGACATGGACCAGGTCCAAGGAGTTCTCCAGGTAACACACAGACATGCTAGGGTTTATTGTCTACATCTATACTATCCTGGATTCAGTATTTTGGAAAATCCACATCCTAGGCACACATAGAAGATTGCAAGAGAAGAGATTAGACTTAACGTCTAAATAAATCAGCCGCTTGGCACCCCAGGGAAATCCCATATTATGAAGTTGGGTGGGGCACCCAAACTCTCCCAGTCTCATCCCCAGCACACTAGGGAAGAAGTCTACTCACTGTTCTCCACTGTAGGATCATAGCCTTCCAAGAACTTGCCTTCCACAAATTGATGTGCCAACGATGTCTTCCCTGTGGGGAGCAGTGGTAGTTGTAGCCGTACCCACCACCAACATTAACATCCTCTGATCTTTTTTTTTTTTTTTTTTTTTTTTTTTTTGAGACAGAGTCTCGGTTTGTTGTCCAGGCTAGAGTGAGTGCCGTGGCATCAGCCTAGCTCACAGCAACCTCAAACTCCTGGGCTCGAGCAATCCTGCTGCCTCAGCCTCCCGAGTATCTGGGACTACAGGCATGCGCCACCATGCCCGGCTAATTTTTTATATATATATCAGTTGGCCAATTAATTTCTTTCTATTTATAGTAGAGACGGGGTCTCGCTCTTGCTCAGGCTGGTTTTGAACTCCTGACCTTGAGCAATCCGCCCGCCTCGGCCTCCCAAGAGCTAGGATTACAGGCGTGAGCCACCGCGCCCGGCCAACATCCTCTGATCTTTCAGACTGACCCAGGACCAAATTAGCACCCTAGCCTGTGAGTGCCCCAAGCAATACTTTCCCTTGGTCCACATTCAACCTCTTTTCCCCCAGGTCTCTGCACTTTGGCTACCAGAGGCATTCAGAAGCCTCCAAGAAATCTTTTCCACCGATTTTCCCCACCCCACATAGGGAAGATCCAGGATTCCCTAAAATCAAGTCCCACCTGCCCCAGGATACCTGCAACTATTTGCCCCACGCAGACCCTGCCCCCATCTTCAAATCCTGACCCCACCCTGCCCCCAGAGTAATGCAGGGGACCACTCCGAGGTTCCCAAAGCCAAATCCACATTAACCCTTACGTTCTCCCGCTTCCTGCAGCCCTCCACACACCACCAGCCTTTCTTCCTCCACCCTTCCAATCTTCGCTCTACACCCGCGTTCTTAAGATGCCACCATTCCTCCCTAGGTCGAGTTCGCCTCTCTGACCACAAAGCCACTGTGCCTCCGTGCGCTCCGCGGGGCGGAGACTCACCTACAGAGCGGTATCCAAGGATGACCACCTTCCTGTAGCGGACCAGCGGCATGGCAGGAGCCCGCCCCAGAGGCTTGCAGAACTGCGGGCTGAGATAGCCCGAAGCGGAGGTCAGGGTGCAGGAAAGCGCGGCAACCGGTGCAGGAAAGTCGCTCACCCCGAAGCTGCCAGGGGCAAGCTAGAGGGAAACCAAAACAAGCGCCGCGCCCGGAGCGGGCCACGTGATCACAACACAGCACGTCTAAGGCGAGGGAGCCGGGCGCCGGGGAACTACCGTGCCGCGCCGCTCAGGGCTCCGCCCCCCGGGCCGCTCGCCATTGGTCTATTAGAATGGGAAAGGGCGGGGCCGCCAGCAGGAGGGAAGGGTGGGCCTCACGTGGAGCGGGAGCGCCGGGAGCGGCGCGTGCGCAGACTGGAGCCGGTTCATTCATAAAGAAAGAGAAAGGAACCCGGGGTCCTAGAGGTGTTTGCGCATTTGCAGCCTAGCAGAAGTGGCTGCGAAGAATGGTGGGTGGAAAATGCCGGCTGTGTTTAGGCTGGAGTTTCTGGTCAAAAGATTCTAGGCCTCCCTTTTGTAAGGTTTCTGGGATCCTTGGATAGGAAAAAAAGGTAGATTTCAATATAATCCCTCTGCTTCCTCCAGCCTTCAGCCCCAGACCTTTTGTTAGCAGGTTTCCAGTCTTCAAGCATCTTATCTCAGAACTGCAATTCTTGTGATTGGGAAAATTGCTAGAATTTGTGACCAGGTAGTCCGAGGTTTTGTAATCATCATCATCATAATAATCAATGCATTCATTTATTCAATAAACCTTTACTGAGCCTATATACTACATGTTTCAGGCATTGTTCTAGTTTTGAGGATAGAGCAATGAACATGACAAATAAGGTCACTGCTCTCTGGAAGCTTAAAACTTGTGGGAAAACCAAACATATTGATAGGGAAATATCAGATAGTGTTAAGTGCCTTAAAATGTGGTGTGATAAGAAACGACCACTTTAGATTAGTGGTGCTTTCTCTTAGAGGAAGCCCAATCTAAACTAAGATCTGAATGACAGACAATAAGGAACCAACTAACAGAAGATTCAAAAGAATCCATCCATGCTAAGAAGCTAAGATGGAAATACATTTGGTCGGCCGGGCGTGGTGGCTCACGCCTGTAATCCTAGCTCTCTGGGAGGCCGAGGCGGGCGGATTGCTCGAGGTCAGGAGTTCAAAACCAGCCTGAGCAAGAGCGAGACCCCGTCTCTACTATAAATAGAAAGAAATTAATTGGCCAACTGATATGTATATAAAAAAAAAAATTAGCCGGGCATGGTGGCGCATGCCTGTAGTCCCAGCTACTCGGGAGGCTGAGGCAGAAGGATCGCTCAAGCCCAGGAGTTTGAGGTTGCTGTGAGCTAGCCTGACGCCACGGCACTCACTCTAGCCTGGACAACAAAGCGAGACTCTGTCTCAAAAAAAAAAAAAGAAATACATTTGGTAAATTCCAGCGGGGAGGGGTTGCAGATAGTTAGCCTAAAGCAGATGAAGTCTAAGAGAATGGCAGAGGCCTGGCTACACAAAGGAATATGGGCTAATTCTAAGTACCTGAAGATGTTCAAGCTGGGGTGTGGCATGATCTGAATTGTTTTCCTAAAAGATCTCCCAGGCTGTGGAGAATGGATTGGGGTTTGGGGGGAACAGGAGCAAGAGGGAGATCAGCTAGGAGACTATTACTTGTAGTCCACATGAGAGATGAGGGTGGCTTGACTAGAGTGACAGTGATGAATGAAGTAGAGAATTCAGGGTGTGTTTTGAAGCTGGGGTGAAGCTGACTTGCTATAGGATTGGCTATAGGAGGTAAGAGAGGCAGGGGAAAAAAGGAAGGAAAATACCTGGATTTTTAGAGACTCCTACTATGTGCCCGGTGCATTTTATTATCTCATTTAATATTGACAACAGTCCTAAGTTTGATAGTTGGTATTATTAATTTATTCATCAACAAATATTTATTAAATGAGAACCATTTCCTGGGTACCTTTCTAGGTGCTGGGAATAGAGCGGCAAACAGCACACACAAGGTCTTTGCTCACAAACAGCAAGTATTCTTTTGGGAGAAGACTAACAATCTACAAATAAACAACAAATAAGTTATAATTTAAAAAGTTAAGGGGCCGGGCACGGTGGCTCATGCCTTAATCACGTAGCACTCTGGGAGGCCTTCGAGCAGGCTTTCGTGGTAGAGTGGATCCACTCCAAGGGAGGAGTTTGGGAACCAGCCTCGAGCAAGAGCAAGACCCCATCTTAGAAAATAGAAATTAATTAGCCGGGCGTGGGTGGCTCACACTGTAAATCCTAGCTCATCTGGGGCCGAGGGCAGGCGGACTGTGCTCAAAGTCCAGCGAGTTCTAAAACCAGCCTGAGCACGCGAGCGGACGCGTTTACTATAACAGGAAATAGATTAAGTTGGGGCCAATAATATTAATAGAAAAATTGCCTGGACGATGGTAGTGTCACGGGATGGGGCATGCCATGTATCCGCTACTAGGTGAGGCTGAGGCAGTAGGATCGTGAGCCCGAGATGAGGTTGCTGTGAGCCAGGCGAAGCACAGCCGCTCACTTCTAGCCTGCAACAAAGTTGAGACTCTGTCTCAAAAAAAAAAAAGAAGAAAGAAATTAATTGGACCACTAAAAAATATGAGAAAAACATTAGCCGAGCATGGGTGGGTGCTGCCATGTATCCCAGCTGGTTGGGGAGGCTGAGGCGAGAACAGAGCTTGCAGCCAAGAGTTTGAGGTGCTGTGAGGGCGTGGCTGATGCACAGCACTCTAGCCAAAGCTGGAAAGGATCCAGACTCTGTCTACAATAAATAAATAAATCCTCTTCAAGCTCTCTTGTTTTGAATCCGGGAGAAAGTGAAAGGGCTAAGGCCTAAGACGAAAGGCTTTCTCGTCTTGTGACATTTTCTTTTTACTTAGCAAGGGACTATCTCACAGCAGATTTTCACTATATCTCCTTGAACAAAAGTGTTTCATATGGTCATTTCTAGCTATATTAAGGAAGCTTGGAAATTTTAGCAATTTCTTTTCCAATCTTCCATAGTAAAGGAAGACAAAAGACATCCAGGCATCATGGATCACTTGAGGCGAAAGTTTGAGACCAGCCTGGACAACATAGTGAGACCTTGTCTTTACAAAAATACATATATATTTTGAAAGATATACAAAAAAATATTTTTAAAAAAGAACCTCAGACATGGTGACACATGCCTGTAGTACCAGCTAATTGGAAGGCTGAGGCAGGAGGACAGTTTGAGCTGAGGAGTTTAAGGTTGCTGTGAGCTATGATGATGCCACCACACTCTAGCCAGGGCAACAGAGCAAGATACTGTCTCCAAAAAAAAAAAAGTAAGGCAAAAGACAAAGTGATTAGAAATAAATGTAAAGGCCAGGCATGATGGCTTACGCCTGTAATCCTAGCACTCTGGGAGGCCAAGGCAGGCAGATCGTTTGAGCTCAGGAGTTCAAGACCAGCCTGAGAAAGAGTAACACCCTGTTGCTACTAAAAAAATAGAAGAAATTAGCTGGACAACTAAAAAAAAAAAAAAAAAATATATATATATATATATATATATATATTATATACTTAATATACTATATATAAAATTAGCCATGCATGGTGGTGCATGCCTGTGGTCCCAGCTACTTGGAAAGCTGAGGCAGGAGGATTGCTTGAGCCCAGGAGTTTGAGGTTGCTGTGAACTAGGCTGATGCCATGGCACTCTAGCCTGGGCAACAGAGTGAGACTCTGTCTCAATAAATAAATAAATAAATGTAAAACCTGCACATTTTAGGAAAAATGTTTGTTTATTAAATATTTGTTCATTAAATATCAATCACTTTTTAAAGTAATGCATAAATGGTTGCCTTGTAAAGATCACAGATATGTGAAGATCACAAACATATGATCAAATAAACTATCCTAATGTTGAGTAAATGGACTGAAATAATATTTCCAGTGATAGCATCATACATTGCTGTCTCAAACAACTGAGACAAAATAAAGATAAAATGTTCCCAGAAAGCTGTTTTAAGTACCTCTGTGAAAAAGTGAAAGCTTCTTTACTACATCTGCATCTAGATCATACTGGATCTCTTTTCTACATCTGCATCTAGATCATACTTCATCTCTTTTCTAATGGATTCCATTGCACAGGTCTTCAGGGCTTTTGGTTTTCCACAGTTCACCTCCCTGCTGATGTATCAGTTATTTATTGTTGCATAACTTGGTGGCTTGAAACAACAATGTATTTTTCTCAGGATTCTGTGGGTTGAATTGATGCTTCCTCTGATGCCTCTGTTGGACTTACACATGTGTCTACAGTCAGTGGAAGCTCCACTGGAAATTGAAGGTCTAACAGGACCTCACTTATGTCTGGGGCCTTGGTGCTAGGTTTGCCTGGGCCTCTCACTTTCCACATGTGTCTCATCATTCAGTGGTCCAGCTTCTTTACATTGTGGCAGAAACACTCAAGAGGGCAAAGATAGAAGCTGTATGGCTTCTTGAGGCCTTAGGCTGTGGAACTCATCCAGCATGACTTCTGCCACATATTATTAGCTGAAGCAAATTACAAAGCTAGCCCTGATTCAAGGCACGAGGAAATAGACTCCTTTTATTTATTTATTTATTTATTTTTTTGACAGAGTCTCACTCTGTTGCCCGGGCTAGAGTGCCGTGGTGTCAGCCTAGCTCACAGCAACCTCAAACTCTTGGGCTCAAGCAATCCTCCTGCCTCAGCCTCTCAAGTAACTGGGACTACAGGCATGCACCACCATGCCCAGCTAATTTTTTCTATATATTTTTAGTTGGCCAATTAATTTCTTTCTATTTTTAGTAGAGATGAGGTCTCACTCTTGCTCAGGCCGATTTCAAACTCCTGACTTTGAGTGATCCGCCTGCCTTGGGCTCCCAGAGTGCTAGGATTACAGGCATGAGCCACTGCGCCCAGCCTAGATTCCATTTTTTGATGACAGGAACTACAAAATATTGTGGCTATATTTTTCAGTCTATCACAGAATAGATTTATTATGGCAAGAATTCCAAGCTGGAATTCTCCATTTGACCAAACTCCAAGGTTTCCACAGCTGTAGTTGAGCCCTACAACTCCATCCTCACCACCCACACCCCTGGAGCACTCTGAGTGTGCCTTCATGGTAGACAATGAGGCCATATGTGGCATCTGTCATAGAAGTTGAGTGCCCAGTCTACACTAACCTGAACTTTCTGATGTACAGTCTATTGTTGTAG